GACAATACTCGTGTGTGGGCACAAAATCCTCAAGGACTATATTTGTGACTCATTATATAACAGGTTATTTTTGTTTCTGTTCTGTGGAAGGTGTAAAGCATTCCTAAAACAAAAGGGTTTTAATGTAGTGGTGTGTTTTGTTTTTGTTTTTTTGCACCCATTCTGTTGATTGCTAAATGTAATAATCTGATCATGACACTGAATATATGTCTTTTTTTTAAAAAAAATTTTAAAGTATATTATCTTGGCATAACAATCTACAACAATGTTTTACATCCTCCTTTGGTGGCTGGAGCCTTCAAAGTTTACAAAAGCAGTCATCTAAAGAGCATCTAATGGTTTCTCTTTGCTCAGAGCAAAACAAGAGTGAAGAAAATGTCATATTAATTTAAAGAACTAAAGGAGGGGGGGAAGACTAAGGGGCCACATAAACTTCAGTCTGCAAAACCCTGAGACCATCCCCGTTCTAAACGAAGAGCAGCACCATTTCCACCACCAAAGCACAGGTTTTCCGTTCTCCCCCTCTCAAAGATGCTCCCCAGTCACCAAGTGACATTCACCTTCCTTATCATCAAAGCAAAGGAAAGGGTCTTTCCCGAGCCCATGTGGTGGGAAGCTGGGTCACCACACCCAAACAAGCAGCATTCTCCCTCACCACGGCCTCGGGCTCCTCCTTAAGTCCTCCTGCAGAGGGAAGAGGAGCATCATCATCACCCCAAAGACCACAGTGCCCTTTTCCAAGTAACAGATCCATTAGGGGAGTCTCAAGGACTCCGGAAACAGAAAAGACGAAAAAGGCTACCTCCCCAAGTCCTCAGTCTGTACAGAGGGTTTCATCCTCTATCTCAGGATCACCTAAGCCAGCAGCTAAAAGACCCAAGCAGCCCCATCTCCTGTCCAGTCTCAGTCACCCTCCACAAACTGGTCACCAGTGGTGCTAGTCAGAAAGGCTGTAAGCCCAACACCGAGCCCATCACCAGCAAGGAATTCAGACCAAGAAGGAGGTGGAAAGGGAAAATAAAAGGGATAAGAAATACAAAAAGGACAAGAAACACACACACACCCCAAAAAAAAAAAAAAAACATAAGAAGGAAAAGGAAGTGGCTGCTCCTGCAACCACATCAGCACAGAAAGAAGAGAGGTAGCCAGAGCCTAAGAAGGAGACTGAAAGGGAAGCTGGAGACAACCTTGATGACTTAGAAAAGCAGCGAGTGCAAGCAAAATATGTTGGTGGCGTTGTGGAGAAACTGGAACCCTTATTCACTGTTGGTGGGAGTATAAAATGGTGCAACCACTGTGAAAGGTGATATGGAACTTTCTCAAAAAGTTGAAAATAGAGATACCATTTTACCCAGCAATTCCACTACTGGGAATATACCCCAAAGAGACCATAACTGTCATCCAAGAAGATATATGCACACACATGTTTATCGCGGCTTTGTTCACAATAGCAAGGAGTTGGAAACAACCCAGGTGCCCATCAACAAACAAATGGATAGAGAAGCTGTGGTATATTCACACAATGGAATACTATGCTGCATTGAAAAACAAGGAACTCATGCAATATTATTCCAAATGGGTGACCCTGGAGGACATTATGCTGAGTGAAATATCTCAGTCACAAAAGGACAAATATTGCATGGTGCCACTACTATAAAATGGGACCGATATCAGGATTGGGGGGAGACTGAGAAAGATGGGTTCAATAATGTACACTGCATTGAAACAGATGAGGAAGAAAACTGTTTGAAAGGAATATGTGATTAGGTATTTTTGTCATGAGTGGGGTCCAGAACGAAGGCTGCATAATGGAGTGGATCTGGGGGAGGGTTTGTAAAACAATGAAAGAATTTTTCTTTTACTTTTCCAAGAGGGTAGTGTACTAGGGGGGAGGGTTGAGAGGGGAGAAAAGTGCAACAATGAATGAATGGAATTCCAAAGTCTGTAAATTTTTACTGAAATTAATAATACATTTACATTAAAAAGAGCCATAAAGACATGTTTCTTGACCACTGGAATTTCATCACTGGAGAATTTACTAAAAACAAAAAAAAAAAATCCCATTTTTTTTCCTTTTTTTAATTTTTTTTTTTATTTGTGTGTGTGTGTACCATCAAATTGAATCTGACTGGCACAGGAGGAGACTATCCCTCCTTCTCCAGCAGAGCATCTGGTGGATTCGAACTACATACCTCTGGGATTGCAGTGCAACTTCTTGCCACTAGGCCACCAGAGCTCCCCTAAGAAATCCCATTTTTAAAAAAGGAGATTTAAATATGGTTGATATTTTATGATTTCCTTAAAAAATGCTCCTGGCTTTTTCCAGTGGCAAGAGAAAAAAAAAAAAAGAAAACACCTCTGAGACCAGAGAAACCTGTGAAAGAGATAATAACAGAGTGGGAGAAAAATGTGGACCAAAACTAAAAATGATTAAACAGATCAGGCTTACTGGTCTGATGGAGACTAGTTGGTCCCCTGCGACCCATAGTGACCCTATGTACAGCAGCTCTGAACTCTGCCCTATCCTGAGCCAGTCTCACTAATTCTGACACACCTACCCCTATTGCCCCATCACTGTATCAGTCCATCTCATCCAGGGTCTTCCTCTCCCTCACTGTCCCTCCACCCTTCCAAGGATGATATCCTTTTCCAAGGACCGATCTCTCCTGATCACATGCCCAAAGTATGTGAGACAGAACTTCAAATTCCTAGCCTCCAAGGAGAAACTTGGTTTCATCCTCTCCATTACTATGGCAGTCCATAGTATGTTCAAGGCTCTTATCCAGCACCACAATTCAAAGGCATCAATTTTTCTTCTGTCATCCTTAGTCATTGTCCAACTCTCTGAAGCATAAAAAGTAATTGCGAATTAGGTGCACCTTAGTTCTAAACTGATATCATTGCTTTTCAGTACTCTTAAGAGGTCCCTGACAGTGCATTTTCCCAATGTAATTCGTCTTTTGATTTCCTGACCGCTAATGTTAAGAGTATTAATTGTGGAGCCAAGCAAGCTGTAATTGTTAACAACCTCAATCTCTTCTCCATCAATCATGGTGTTGCCAATTGGCCCAGTGGTGAGAATCTTTGTCTTCTTAATGTTACCTAAATCCATATAGGAGACTACAGTCCTTACCCTTCTGGAGCAAGCACTCCAGGTCTTCTTCAAGCAAGGTAGTGTCATTTGCATATCATAGGTTATTGATGAGTCTATCTCCAATCCTGATGCTACATTCCTCCTCATAAAGCCCTGCTTCCCAAATGTTCTGTTCTGCCTATACATTGAAAAGGTCTGGAGACAAGATGCATCCCTTGATGCACTCCTTTCCTGATTTCAAACCATGCAGAGTTTCCCTGCTCTGTTCTGAGAACTGCTTCCTGGTCCAAGTATAGGTTTTGCATAAGCACAATCAAGTGTTCAGGGATTCCCATTTTTCATTTTCCGCAAGATTAGCCACAATTTCTTGTGATCCACACAGTCAAATGCCTTTGCACTAGTAGAACCACTGAAATTATGGCTCTTGGTCAACAACCTGCATTATACAGATGACACAACCTTGCTTGCAGAAACAAAAGAGGACAAAAGGATTTACTGCAAAAGGTCAAGGACTGCAGGCTTCCATATGGATTGAAGCTCAACATCAAGAAGACAAAGATTCTCGCCACTGGGCCAAATGGCAGCACTGTAATATATGTAGAAGAGATTGTTAACAATTTCAGCTTGCTCAGATCCACAATCAACACTCTTGGAACCAGCAGTCAGTAAATCAAAAGATTAATTGCATTGGGAAAATCTACTATCCGGGACCTCTCCAGAGTACTAAAAAGCAATAATGCCAGTTTGGAGATTAAGATGTGTCTGATTCAGGTCATGATCTTTGCAGTTACTTATTATGCTTCAGAGAGCTGGAAGACTAAGGATGGCGGAAGAAGAACTGATACCTTTGTGTTGTGCTGGAGAAGAGTATTAAAAATACATACCATGGAATGCCAAGGGAACAAACAGGTCTGTCCTGGAGAAAATAAAACCAAGTTTTTCCTTGGAGGCAAGAATTACAAAGTTCCATCTCACATACCTTAAGCACATGGCCAAGAGGAACCAGTCCTTGGAGAAAGACATCATGCTTGGAAGGATAAAGGGAAAGCACAGGAGAGAAAGACCCCATATGAGATAGATTGATATAGTGACTGGGGTAATGGGGGTAGGTGTGTCAGAGTCGGTGAGGTTGGCTCAGGATAGGGCAAGGTTCAGAGCTGTTGTACGTAGGGTTGCTATGAGTTTCAGGCAACTGGACAGCACATAACAACAGTCATCCTTCAAGCCTGTAATTTAAATCACCTTTCAGCCACACCACAGAAAGGCCTGTATGGTGACCAGTGACATGAAGGAGAAACACACTTAGAAAACAGCCCTACAAGGTCAAAAGGTCAGCATTTGCTCAGAAAGAAAACTCCAAATGGAGGAAGGGTTAGGAAAAAAGACTGAATAAAAACAGGAAAACAAGGAGGAAGTGGCAAGAGTGTTGATAAAATACGGAGATTATCATCTGTGTCATGAAAGTGAATTGTTAAATAGAAAACCAATTTGCTCTGTAAACCTTCACTCAAATTACAATAAAAAGTTTGTTGTTTTTTTTTCTTTTTTTTTTAAAAGTTTTTTAAAAGAGTATAATGCCTCTTTTCTCTCACATATTAAATCCTATTGTCTGAACACACTATATAAACTCCTTCCTTCATTTTTATTCTTCTCCTATAAATGGACAGACCTCGAGGGCCTTAAAAATGTTAAGGAAACTGGCCAGAATTAGTTGAGCCTTGCAGAGAAAGACTCAACTTTAAAGGCAATTATGTTTCTAGGAATAAGAAAATAAGTATGAACATATTCTCATGTATGCTAGTTCTTCTAGATAATTATTCCCCACAAATGTTTTCCTTGTTGTTATAACAAAGTAGGGCACAGTGTTACTGCATGGATATTTTTTAATTCATTCCTTATTGTCTAGGTTTTTCTCCAGCTTCCACTGGAAAATAACTTTGCCATGACTGTCCACACAAAAGCAGCTGGGCGGACTAGTATCAAAGTCTCTGTTCACTGTATGAACAGTTCCTCTGGGCAGTTGGAAGGAAATTTGTTGGAACTATCTGATGAAGTTCAGATCTTGGTAAGCTTCCAAACCAAAATTTTTGTTTTTTATTATCAAGAAGAGAGTTCTATCCTGATTTATCCCTGAAAAGCAAAAACTTTGGCTGAAGATAGAGGAAAAATTGCTGGAAGGATTCCTGGAACAGGTTTATCATTCCCAGATCTTTGCATTAGCAATGTCTCTATATGAGTATTAGCATTAAAAACTATAGTCCATGTGTTCCACTCAACTCCCCAAAAATGTGTGCACTAGAATATGAACACCATCATTGAATTGAGATTATTAATTTCTGCCAAGCAATTTGCTAAATAAATTATATTACACAGTCCATTTAGATCAATTCTTAGATAGAATTAAATATAATCTTATTTCTGGTAATGTAAGAATATGAATCATTTCTCTCGTAGTTCTAAGCCTAAATAAAGCTACATCTCCCTATTTTTCCTAAAATTTAAAAGTTATCCTTTATGTGGGCAAATAACTTTCTCTTCCTTTATATTTGGGATTTTTTTCCCTTTTCTTCTTCTTTATTTTGACTTTGGTTCTCTGACTCAGTATAGGGGTAGAAGAAAGAGTACTTTGCTAGGAGTAGGAGACTTGTGTAGTATCTATGCCAATTTGACATTATAGATCCTTTGTTCCCTATACCTACCCTTTCAGGTTGCTAGTCTAGACTTTACATATTTAATACAGTACATTATCCTCAAGTTGCTAATCTTAAAGTGAGAATTTCAGCATTCATGTATACCTAATCTTTAAATAATAAAAAAAAAAAACAGAAAAAAATACTGAAACAAAACCCTAAACCTAAATCATTGATGTCATATGAAAACCAACTCATAGCTGACCCTCCCTTAAGTCTCTGAGGCTGTAAATTGCACAGGAAAATATCTCTCATCATCTTTCCTTGGAGCCGCCTCTGGATTCAAACTATCAGAAAGGTGTGGCCTTTTAATAATAAGTAGCACTACTCCTCCAGAGCCCCCTAAGTAACAAAGGTGAGGTGGCAAAAGTGAGCCTTACCGCAAGCCCTAGTGGCTGGAGATGGAGCTAATACTAAGTTCTACATTCTATGATACCTACTTATACTCTAAATATCTTGTTCATTTTAGAAAGTAGTATGGGAACATTTCAGGCTAGGCAGGCTGTTGGTTTTTCATTGTCCCTTTTAACAACATAATCCCCAATTCTATTTGTAAATAATAGTTATTGTGTCTTTTTCCAAAATGAGGAAAATTTTTTTTAATTGTAGGTATTTGAAAAACTCCAACTGTTTGATCCAGAGTGCCAAGCTAAGCAAATTCTAATGCCTATGAATTCTCAGCTAAAACTCCATACTAACAGGTACAGCAAGGATGGGCCATGTTCTAACATTTAGCACCTTCAATATAACTTTACACATGGAAAGAACCATCTGACCTTTTAACTGCCAAATTTTCTATTTGGGTGAAACACACATAAAATGAACTGTTTTGAAGTATGCAATTCAGTGACATTTAGTCCATTTATAAGTTCTAGTTTCTAAACATTTTCATCATTCCCAAAAAAGACTCCATTCCCCATCCTCTTCTCCCACCAGCCCTCGGCAACCACTAATCTACTTTTTGTCTGTATAAATTACGCTATTGTAAGCATTGCTTCTAAATGAATTGTATAATACGTGACATTAGTGTTTATCTTCTTTAACTTAGCATAATAGTTTCAAGATTCATCTATGTTTCTACCACATATTATTTCTTTTTGTGGGTATTATTTCTTTGTATGGATGTACCACATTTATGATTTATCCATTCATCCAAAGATGGAAACTTGAGTTGTTTCCTCCTTTTGGCTCTTGTGGATAATGCTCCTCTGAACTTTTGGATGCATTTATTCATTTGAATAGCTATTTTCTTTTCTGTGTAAAAAAATACATAACTAATAAATACCTATTAGGATCTGATTTTTTTTAAATAAATTTTTCCCTTATTCACTGTTGATGTGAGTGTAAAATGGTGCAACCACTGTGGAAGGTTGTATGCCACTTTCTCAAAAAGTTGCAAATAGAGATACCATTTGACCCAGCAATGCCACTACTGGGAATATACCCCAAAGCGACCATAACTGCCACCCAAGCAGATATATGCACACCTGTATTTATTGCAGCTTTGTTTGCACTAGTGAAGAGCTGGAAACAACCCAAGTACCCATCAACCAACAAATTGATCGAGCAGCTGTGGTATAGTCACACAGTGGGATGCTATGCAGCATTGAAAAACAAGGAACTCATGCAATATTATTCAAAATGGATGAGACTGGAGGACATTATGCTGAGTGAAATATCTCAGTCACAAAAGGACAAATATGAAACGGGACTGACATTGGGGTTGAAGGAAGACAGAAAAGGAGGGGAGGAATGATGTATCCTGCATTGAAACAGATGAGGGAGAGAACTGTTTAAAAGGGATATATGATTGGGTATTCTTGTCATTACAAAAGTCCAGAGTGAAGGCTACATAGTGGAGTGGACTTGGAGGGAGGAACTGCATAACAATAAAAGAGTTTTTTCTTTTTCTTTTCAAGGAGAAGAGTGAATTGGGGGGAGGGAGTGGGCAGGCAGAAAAGTGCAACAATTAATGACTGGAAACCCTAAGTCTCTGTAAAATTTCATTAAAATTAATAAATTTTTTTTCATTTTTAATTGTGATTTTAACAAACATTTACAGAGAAGTCAGATTTTCATTAATTCATTGTTGCACATTTTACCCTCTTGCCCTGCCTTCCCTCCCCAGTTCACTATTTTCTTAATATTCATTCATTGTTACACAATTACTTACCTTCCCCCACCCCTAGTCCACCTTGCAATGATATGTTTCTTATTCTGGGCTGTTGTACATATAATGCCTAATCATATATTCTTTTTAGGCAGTTCTTTCAGCTGTTCCAATGCAATGGTCATTATTATCCATCTGCTCTTTTCCTATTCTCCTCCCATCCCGCCACATCAGACCTGCTTTATAACAGTGGTGCTATGAAGTATTTGTCCTTTTATGGACCCTGGAGCATATCATGCTGAGGATCTGATTTTTTAAAATAGGTTAGTCCAGAGGCAGACTTTTACCTGAGGAATAAAGAAGCAGATAACTTAGAGAATTGGAAACTGTTGCCTCAAACAACAACTTCTAACAGGGATCCTGAAAAACTTTCTCTCTGGTCAGAGGCCCCCAGCACCACAACTTGCTCCTCTTTTTCCTTAGGGAAGGAGCTGCCTTTGTGAGCTCCCGCCTTCTCAAGTGTTTTCCTAATTCATCTGTTATTGAGGAGGATGGTCAAGGGCTCCTGAAGGCTGGTTCCATTGCAGGTACTGCTGTGCTGGAAGTCACTTCTATAGAACCTTTTGGAGTCAACCAAACAACTATCACTGGGGTTCAGGTAAGTTAAGTGACTTACGTAACTGAGTAAAAGGAATGCTATGGTGTTAAGAGACAAATTCCCTTTTTGTAAGAGCTAGAAACTTCTCTGTAAGATAAGAGGCAAAGTTAAATATGGTGAGAAACCATTAAATTTACCCAGCCATCACTGAGTTGGCTTGGACTCATCATATAACAGAACAAATGCAGCCCAGACCTGAACCCTCCTTTCACTCATCATTGTGTCCAAAACCCTCATCATGACGGTTGTGCCAGTTCATCTCACTAAGGGTCACTCTTGCCCTTAAAAGCCCTCTGCTTCACTACACATCATGTTCCCCTCTAGCACTTGAACCTTCCTGTTGATGTATTATCAAAACAAGTCTGTCAGCCAGTGTTCGGCTGTACTCTGTAAGGTTATCATTGGCTAATTCTCAGAAGTAGATTGCCAGGTCTTTGTTTCTAGTTTGTCTGGGTTTGAGACTTTACTGAAACATATCCACAGTAGGTGACCCTGCTGGTATGTGAAATACCAGTGGCATAACTTCCAGCATCCAATACAGTACAACGTACTGATAGATGAAGTGTATGTTAGGGTCCTTGTAATAAAAGAAATTAACCTCAGATGAGTATAATTGTGTAGATTGACAAAGGAGTATAGATTGTTGCTATCATGTTGGCGTTTTCTTTTTGGGTGGTTTTTTTTTTTTTAGAATTGGAAGTGACATCAGAGGTAAATTTTTTGGACAAAAAAATTTTAGGCATTAAGTGAAGACAGTGAAGGATAAAACAAGATCATGATCTGATATTTATAAGATTGCTATGAGTCATATTTAACTAGATGGTCCCTAACAACAATATTCCTGCAGACAAGGAGGCCTGGTGGCAATGTGGTTAAATGTTTGACTACCAGCTACAAGTTCAGCAGTTTGAATCCACAGCTACTTTGCAGGAGAAAGAGGTAGCAATCTGTTTCCATGAAGATTACAGTCTTAGAAACCCTATGTGGCACACTGACCTACAGGGTCAGAATCAACTGTACAGCAAAGGGTTGTATTTCAGCCACTGTGTTGACCCTTTATGTCTCTGCTTTCTTTAACTACCACAAAGATCCTATAAATGAGAGGTTATTATTCCCCAAGTGACTAATAAGAAAGCTGTGATCCAGAACAGTTAAATAAGCCTGTGAAATTATTAACCTAGGATTAAAAGCTGAACTTTTCCTATTATAAAATACACAATGTATAGTATTTCTGGAAAACTGCTATTATTCAACAACAATATTAAATGCTCTGCACAAAACAGATGAATTACAGTCTTCTCTCAAAAAAAAAATAAACAACAAACCCACCCTCTAGCATCTCTTCACATTCCTAGAGTTTTAATAATTATAAAATGATTCTCTGTGTTGTAATGAAGGGCTAAGTATTCCCTAAGGAAGAAGAGCATTGCTGTGTTTTATCACTGACTGTAATCTCATAATATGGTTGCATCTCTCTATACCAGTAGGTTTTTTCTCTGGCAGGTAGCACCGGTGGCATACCTGCACATGAGCAGCCAGTCCAAGCTGTACACAACCCCAGGAAGGACCCTCTCTGCCTTCCCACTGGGCATGTCCCTCACCTTCATTGTTCAGTTTTACAGTAGCATCGGAGAGAAATTCCACACGCATAATGCACATCTTTATCTGGCTCTGAACAGGTATGGAGGACAAGGGAATTGTGTTAACACAGTGGTAAAAATCTTGCAGATTATACTAGTATTATGGAGCAATGCCAATAAACTCTTCTCACAGTCTGCACCTGGAATCTGATCTTTATCTGGTTCCTATCCTTAAGATAGGAAAAAGACCAAATTTAGTTAAAGAATGAAATTAATTATTCAATGAAGAAAAATTTCAACTGCTCAAACTGTCAAGTCCCAGGTTCACAGAGAGACTAATAGGGAGCTAACTGGAGTGTTAGCTCCATGTCACATTCAAAAGCCATACTGGACACTCTGTGAATAAAGGTGATAGACCTGGTTCCTGATCTGTAGTTGCTTACACTCCATTGTGGAATTCTTCAGAACTTTCCAGCTGTTGACAGTAAATGTTAATGGTAGGAACTGCCCCAAAAACTATTTCCTGGCTATTGTCTGTTTTCAGAGAGTGCTACCCTTCGTGTCTACTTTCAGAGATGACCTGCTGCTAATTGGACCAGGAAACAAGAACTACACTTACACAGTGCAGGCCGTGAACAGAGGGTTGACACTTGTGGGGCTCTGGGACCGGAGACACCCAGGCATAGCAGATTATATTCCTGTCACTGTAGAGCATGCCATCGAGCCAGACACCAATCTCACCTTTGTTGGAGATGTCGTCTGCTTCAGCACTCACCTCGTCAACCAGCAGGGTGCGTACACCTCCCCTTTCTCAACTTCTCACAACTGACAATTCTCTGACAGTATTAGAAAGCAGCTCATCCCTTAAAGGATGATATGATCCCTTAGATCTTTTTACAAATGATGTAAAATCTGAGGGTTTCTCACAAGAAGAAGACATTTTTTCTATTTTATCATTTGTAATATTATTTTATTATTCTTAGTGTTATATCTATTTCTTTCAATAATGAGCCAATTAAAAGCCAGGCAGTAAAATTTACAAGTGTTTCTTTCATACACAGCTCTATACAATGTTAGGTACGCTGGGCAGAGTACTGAGCCAGAACCTGTTCCCAGCCTCTGAAAGAGAGTAATTATTAATTGAAGAGAAGTAAAAGATGAAATAAAAAGAAGGAAATATAATGCTGAGGGGACACTGAACTTCCCTTTTAACGGTGATGGAAAAATTTGGAAACTTAATAATTATGGTTGAACAATATATTTAGTGTTACTAAATCATACATGTGAACGTCACTGAAATGGCAAATGTTTTGTTACCTATATTTACTACGGTAAAGAATGTTAAAAATGAAGAAAAAGGAAAGTGAGCAGAGAATTATACTGCCAACCCAAAGACAAGTGGTTCAAATCCACCAGCTGCTTCACGGGAGACAGATGGACAGTCTCTTCTTGCACAATTTATACCCTCTGAAAACCCACTAGAGGGTCAGCTCTGGGTTGGTTCTGACTTGATGGCAATGAAAGAAAGTTTTGAGCTACTAACATCACTATAATAAGGTGGTGGTGGTGGTTGTTGTTGTTGTTGTTATGTGCCATCAAGTCGCTTGCAACTCATAGCGACCCTATGTACAACAGCCCTAAACTCCGCTCTGTCCTGTGCCAATCACACTGTCTCTGACACTCCCATCCCAATTAT